TACACAGCAGAATAAATAACCATCAATAATGGAATGGCAAATCACTGTATGAAAGAAAATCATTGCCAATGATCCTTCAGTTAAGAGGTTAATTTCCCAAATGTATGGAGTATTTATACAACTCAACAAAAGGAAGATGAAGAACCCAATTAAAAAATGGGCATTGTCAGACTGACAATCCCCTAAATAGGAAGGTGGTGGGGAAGAGATAAACCACAGAACTTATATGCATGTATGCATGAACAGTGGACATGGACAACAAACTAGGAAAAGGGCAGGGAGGGAGTGGGAGGGGGGAATCAGTGGGGGAAAAAGGAGAAACATCTGTAACAAACATTAATTAATAAAAAAAAAAACCCAAAAAAACAAAACAAACAAACCAAAAATAATATTTAAAAAAAATAAAATAAAAAATGGGCAGAAGTGCTGAATGGACACCTCTCCAAAAAGGACATACAAATGGTCAAAAGACATATGAAGAAATGCTCAACATTACTAGTCATCAGAGCGATGCAAATTTAAACAATGAGGTATCATCTCACACCTGTCAGAATGGCCGCCATCAACAAATCATCAAACAACAAGTGTTAGTGAGTCTGTGGAGAAAAGGGGACTCTAGTACACTGCTGGTGGGAATGCAGACTGGTGCAGCCACTGTGGAAAACAATATGGTGTTACCTCAAAAAATTAAATATTGAACTTCTATTTGACCCAGTGATCCCACTTCTAGGAATATACCCTAAGAAGCCTGAAACACCAATCAGAAAAAATATATGTACCCCCATATTTGTAGCAGCACTATTTATAATAGCTAAGATCTGGAAACAGCCCAAGTGTCCATCAGTAGACGAATGGATTAGAAAAGCCATGGTACACAATGGAGTATACACAATGGAGTACTATGCAGCTGTAAGAAAGAAAGTTCTCTTATCCTTTGAGACGACGTGGAGGGATCTGGAGAGTATTATTCTAAGTGAAACAAGCTAGGCAGAGAAAGACAAATATCACATGATCTCACTTATTTGTGGAATATAATGAACATAACAGTCTGATGAGTAGGGGACAGACTGACAACACTCAGAAGAGGGACTGGTTGGGGGAGGATATAGATAAACCACACAATTTTGTGCATGTACGCATAACCAATGGACACGGACAACAAAGCCGGGGATGGGGCAGGGGGAATTGGGAGGAGGGTGTCAATGGGGTAAAAAAGGAGAAACATCTGTAACAAAATAAAATTAAAAACAACAACAAAACCCGAAGAGGTACATGCAACAGTTCCACAGGTTGAAACGGGGATCCATGCAGAAACCTCATTTCTAAAGGGAAACTTAAGTCAATGACAACCCAAAGGCAAACTCCTCCTGTTGAGGTAGCTGGTTTTGAATAATCGTGTGTACTTTTCTCTACAAACGGGGAAGAAACAATATGTTGATGGAAGAAACATCGACATGTGTAAAGAGTTTTTGTAGGATTTTATTTGAGCCAAACTGACAATTACTGGGGAGCAAGGTCTCAAATGCTCTGGAGAACAAAGGTGTGCAGCTTTCTTTATGCATTTGGAACGAAGGAGGTCAAGTGAGGGAGATTACGACCAGGAAGTGGGAGGAAGCGAGGTGGGGGTGGGATTCCGGGATAGTTCAGAAGGTTTGCTCTCTTGAGGGTGGTCATGCTTATTCCAAGGGTGTGTTAACCTAGATACACAAGAACTATGGGTGGATTTGCTTATGGCAAAGCTAAACCTTTTAGGGAAGTAGTTCTATGGGTCGGGTGTGATCAGATCATCCTGGAAGGTTACTTTCAGTCACTGAATTTTGTCAGATTTACTACAGAGCTTCCTTTTTTGTTCACAAATACAATCCTGGAAAGTAGATAAAGTAAAGGGCTTCCTGTGATCTCTGTTGCTGAGCCTTGAAACAATACTAATTCAACAGCACGATATTGTGTCTTTGCTTAACTCTGCACCTGCTCCAGGTCTGGGCCCTGTGTTGGTGGTTTTGAGCGCCCCCTGGTGTTCCAAGCGCCCCCTGGTGTTCAGAGCGCCCCCTGCAGCCCCGCCCTCCTGTCCCCTCAGGAGGTTTGTGTCTGGGCTCACACTGACTTCCCCTCACTGTGTGTCTCGCACAGTAATACACGGCCGTGTCCTCGGTGGTCACGGAGCTCAGCTGCAGGGAGAACTGGTTCTTGGACGTGTCTGGGTCAATTATTAACCGACCTTGGAGAGATGGGGTGTACTCTCTATACCACTTGGAACGGTAGTATGTCCTTCCCAGCCACTGGAGACCTCTCCCTGGGGGCTGCCTGAGCCAGTTCCATGTGGCACTCTTACTAGAGACACTGTCCCCAGAGATGGCCCAGGTGAGGGAGAGGGTCTGCGAGGGCTTCAACAGTCCTGGGCCTGACTCCTGCAGCTGCACCTGGGACAGGACACCTGGGGACAAGGATCATCAGACCCTGTCAGTCACGTGGAGTCACAACCAGGCCAGAGACCTCAGCCCTGTGTGAGGAGAGAGCTGTGAGCCTCCCCAGCCCAGGGGAGGATTTACCCTGGAGCTTGGGGAGAAATTTGCATGTGGGGAATCCTGTTCCTTATAAGTGGGGGGACTGTCAGGCTTCCTTGGTCCTTCTGTTGCTAATGTGTAGGATTTCTCTTCTTGAAATCACTTAGTACAGTTGTCAGGTATAGGGAGGGGATCTCCTGGTACACAGGATACACTGGAGTCCGCTTAATGTCTGTGGTCATTTCCGATAAGTGGTGGATGACTTAATTAGATTACATTTTTAATTTCTCACGCCTCTTTCAAATATATCCAAAGGGATTAAGTTTGTTTAGTTCATTTCTTTTTTTTTTTACCCTCACCCGAGGGTATTTTTCCATTTTTTGTACAGATAGAGTGGGAGGGAGAGAGAGGAAGGGAGAGAGAGAGAGAAACATCGACGTGAAGGGACACATCGAGTGGCTGCCACCCGCACGACCAACCAGGGCCGGGGACAAACTGCAACCGAAGTATGTGCCCTTAGTGGGAACCGAACCCGGGTCTCTCCAGACCGCAGGCCGACGCTCTAATCGCTGAGCCAAACCGGCCAGGGCTGTTTAGATAATTTCTTAAACCCAGCTCTCTAATATCTACAGAACTGTCAAATATTTTTGTGAAAAGTTCTATTTCTATAAACATAATTTTATATAGCCAGATGATATCTAGGTTGGTTTGAAAATCACAAAATAAAGGACATTTATTTTCAGTATCTTATTTCTTTATATTGTAACTTTGATCCAAGGAACTATATCCCAGGAACATGTCATTGAGATACCCTTGATTCTTTTTTCTTTTTTATTTGTTAAAATGATATTTCTTACAAATTCTGAGTAGCACTGTGCTACATGCCTTTGTTTAGGTTAGTGCTAGAAACCTTTTTCTTGCAATCTTTGCTAAACTCTTTCAGAGCTAAGTAGTGTCTGATCTAGTTAGTACTTGGATAGGAGACCCCTGATTTTTGATGTTGACAATTTTGTAATTGCGCCTTTGTCCCTCCTGAAACTTTTTTCTTGTGCAAGTCCATGGCTTATTGCAGAGACTGCAAATAATTATATCAGACATATTCATATTTTTACATGGAGAAATGATTGAGAATAAAAGAGTAATTATTCATGTGTCCAATTCAGAATCTTTCATATGTGGAAATTGTAAAGGCAGCAGGTTAACTGACCTCTGTCCTCAGTCAAATATTTTCAGTGATGTTGGGGTCAGAGGAAGGCAAATCATAGAGGTTCCCAGCACAGATATGCTCACAGGAGAGGGAACTTCATCCCTGACAGGAACCCTCACTCCCAGGACACACTACATGGGCAACTGGGCGGTTTTCAGATCTTGGGTATTGTAAGTAACACTGCTATGAACATGGGGTGTATATGTTCTTTCTGATTTACGTTTAGGAATAATTAGGATATATTATCAGAGGTTGGTGTTCTGGGTTAAAAAGCTGTTCTATTGTTATTTTTTTGTATTAATTACTCCCCCTTTTAAAATTTAATTAATTAATTTATTTTTGTTAGAGATGTTTCTCCTTTTTTCCCCTACTGATAACCCCTCCCTCTCCATCCCCGCTGTCCCCAACTTTGTTGTCCATGTCCATTGTTCATGCATACATGCCTATAAGTTCTGCAATTTATCTCCCTCCGCCCCCTCTTCTGGAGATTGTCAGTCTGCAACCTCCTTCCACGTCTCTGGTACTTTATTTTTGTTTTAGATGTTTCTCCATTTCTTCCCCAGACACCATCCTCTTGACCTCCCATTCCCAGAGCATTGTTGTCTATGTCCACTGATTAAGCAGATATGCATGAAAGTTATTTGGTTTATATTACCCTCCCGCCACCCCCATCCTCTGGGGTTTGTCAGACTGAACGTCCTATTTTTATTTTTATTTTTGAGGAAACTCCATAGCGTTTTCCACAGTGGCTGCACTAGTCTGCATTCACACCAACAGTGCACCAGGTCAGTTTCTCCACGTCCTCACCAGCACTGGGTGTTTGTTGAGGTATTGATAGGAGCCATTCTGGCAGGTGTAGCTGTCGTTTCAATTTGCATGTCTCTGATGATCAGAAATGCTGAGCATTGTTTCATATGTCTCATGGCCATCTGTACGTCCTCTTTGGAGAAGTGTCGATTCAGGGTATTGGCCCATATTTTAATTGGATTGTATGTCTTCCTGGTGTTGAGTTTTATGTAGTTTTCAAATATTTTGGAATTTAAGCCTTTATCAAATGTACCTTTGGCAAATAGACCACAGCCTTTTCTAACTCAGTGATGTTAGAGGTAAACACTGAATCAAGAACCCAGAGAGGTTCCCTGAGGGAAACTGTGACATGAAGAGGAAACCACTCAGGAAACCAGCCCAAACCTCCAACTGCACCAGCTCCTGGATGGTCCTTGTGTTCAGGGAACCTGTGCGCCCCCTGGTGGCCGTAGCCTCTCCTGCAGTGAGGTTTGTGTCTGGGCTCACACTGACTTCCTCTCACTGTGTCTCGCACAGTAATACATGGCTGTGTCCTCGGTGGTCATGGAGCTCAGCTGCAGGGAGAACTGGTTCTTGGACGTGTCTATGGAGATGGTGGTGCGGCTCTTGAGGGACGGGTTGTAGTAAGTACTACCACTTCCATACCATATATGTTCCCAATCCATTCCAGCCCCTTCCCTGGTTTCTGGCGGATCCAGCTCCAGTAGTAACCACTACTGAGTGAGCCCCCAGAGACAGTGCAGGTGAGGGAGAGGGTCTGTGAGGGCTTCACCAGTCCTGGGCCCGACTCCTGCAGCTGCACCTGGGACAGGACACCTGGGGACAAGGAACATCAGGCCCTGTCAGTCACGTGCAGTCACAACCACCCCACAGACCCCTGTCTGACCTCTGAGACCCTCACCTTGGGGGGCTGTCACCAGGCACAGGAGAAGACCCAGCAGTCTCATCTTCTTCTAGACCAGGGCTCTGCCTTCCCCAGAGACCTCAGCCCTGTGTGAGGAGAGAGCTGTGAGCCTCCCCAGCCCAGGGGAGGGTTTACCCTGGAGCTTGGGGAGAGATTTGCATGTGGGGCAGCCTGTTCCTTATAAGTGGAGGACTGAGGTCAGGCTGCCCTGGTCCTTCTGGGTCCCTGTGGGGACATCTCTTTCTTTGAACTCACTCAGTATGTAAGTCAGGGATAGGGGATCCCCTGGTTCCAGAGACATTGGGATGTGGTCAAATATTGGCCTCACCTTCCTGAGCATAAGAAGAAATGATGGACTACTTGAGTAGGTTAGACTTTTAACTTCCCATACATCCTTCAAACTAATTTAAAAGGGATTAGCATTTGTTCAGAGACGTTTTGCATCCTAACTCTCCAGTATACCCACTATTTCCAAATTGTATATCATAATTTCATACAAATATTATCTATCTTTGTGCAAAAATAAAAATAAAGAACATCTATGCTCAATATCTTATATTTTGAATATATTTAAACATGTTTTTATTGATTTTCTTTTTTATAGAATTGAACGGAGAGAGTAACTTTATTGCTGCCAAAAATCTCTGACTCCAGTCTCCTTCCTTTTGACCCCTGGGCATGGTCAGTTGTTCAGAAATGCCAGGATCTACCGCAGAATATATAACATCCTTAATGCATGATGGACACATTCTCCCACCAGACACATAATTTGGAAATGTTATCTCTCTGTGGAGCTTGACTTTTCATTCCCTTAATGGAATCTGGTGGGATAAATGTATTTAATATAGCAAAGTCTAATTCACCCCTATTTTCTGTACTGGGCCTGTTTTTGTGAATCACACAGACCCCAGGATGTGCTGAGCCTCACGGTCCAGGGGCATCGGCTGCAGCAGCCACAGGGACAGAGAGATCCTGGCACCAGGGGTGAGGGCTGCTGGGAAACTGCTCAGAACTGGATGGGACTTGGACCTGGGTGAGGGGAGGAAGCTGAATGTAGTTCTGCATCAAAGGACAGAAATATACCTGATGTTCATGGACAGAGTGTTACTGGACATGTGGGTTTAAACCTCTTCCTGTGACGACCCAGGAGGACGTGCAGGGCCTGATAGACACAGCTTCTGTCATCGTAGGAAACACCTGAGTGATTATGACCAGGATTTTGTCAGAATAGAAATGTTAAAGGTTCTGCAGGCAGGGATCAAGGGAAATAAGGAACGTGTCATTGCAAAGGGATGGAAGGGGATTCCTATTACCCACATGCACCTACAAACAGCAGTGGCCTTAGCTATGAGCAGTGCCTTCGGGTTAAACTACAAGTGGCTCCACAGCACAGAGCCGAGAGGGACGCTAGGGCTCCTGCAGAGGGAGGGTGGACTGACTGGAACTCTGTGGGGACACTCGGGATTTCGAGGGTGTTCAGAACGTGTTATTGCACAGGGGTGGAAGGGGATTCCTATTACCCACATGCACCTGCTTATAGTGTCTCTGTCTGTGACATAACAACTTCCCAGCTCCTGGGTGTTAGCACTTTATCACCTGGGCGTCATTACTTCCATGGTCACACCATGCTTCACCCAAGCTGCACAACTCACTGGAATCTGTTTATGAAATCCCTCAGCACTTAGAGGGAAGAGTGGACACCCCTCCCTGCAGGAGCCATGGTGCTGGTGTGTCTGTGTGAGGGGCCCTCGTGTCATTGACCAGGACCCTGTCTCAGTGCATGGTCATCACCATCATCACCAGCTTCACCAAAATCATCATCATCACCATCATCATCATTTTCTTACTTATAGTTGTTCTTATTTTCTATAGACATGTTTGTTGTCCATAGATAATTACTTTTTATTGGGGATAAAAAGCAGGCATCTTGTTTGGCCAATGTTGCTCAGTGGCTGAGCATTGACCCTTGCACCAAGAGGTCACCAGTTTGATTCTCAGTCAGGGCAATGCTCAGATTAGGGGCCCAATCCTCAGTGGGAGGCATGCAGGAGGTGGCCAATAGTGTTCTCTCTCATTGATGTTTCTATCTCTCTCCCTCTCCCTTCCTCTCTAAGTCAATAAACAAAAGAAAAATATTTTTTTAAGCAGGTGTCTCCTCTTTCCAGGTCAGGGGGAGAGTGAAACAAAGGCCTCCCCTGTAGCTGACACAGGCCTTCCACAGCGCTGAGGACCTTGGGTACATGCAGATTCCACCAGCACTTGGACCAGGACGCCTGTCCAATCCCATTGTCATGGTCACCACCACCATCATCACCATCTTCAACACTGCTTATTTATAATCAGTTTTCTCATTTTCTCTAGACCTGGTTTTGTACTCACATAATGATCCTTTATCTCAATTTTTACTAATTTTGTACAATATTTAACTTGAATATGTAGCCGTACGCTGCTATCTTCTTTTTCATTCCTGCTGAGTCCCTGCCAGGTCCCTGACCTCTGTGCACACTGAGCTCCTCCCATCCCTCAGGGCCTGGGGACCATGAGGGACACTCAGTCCCCAAGAAGGGGAGCTTTTTCCCTGTCAGTAAGGAGAGAAAGACAGAATCCAGCAAACCCCCGTGGTCTCAGGGGACTGTGTGAACATCCAGGACCCCCCTAGGTGATCTCTGAGATGGATCCTCTTCTCTGAGTCGTCACTGAGATCCTCCTGTGTCCAGGTGAGGTGATGAAACACTGGGGCACAGGACCCAGAAGGAGGAGGGGCCTGGAAGCACCTGGGGTGATCAGAGCCAACCCCACGGCCTTCTCACAGCTCAGGTAACCCCAGGGAAGTCAGATCTGCTAAGAACCAAGACCCCCACTCTGCTGCTGGGGCTCTTATGCCCATGAGAATGGGGGAACATGTCCAAACCTGAGAGCTGGTGTCTGTTCCCGAGAGGAAGGGCCTGGAGTCCGCCCAGAGCTGAGGGGCAGGGCTGCCCTCCCAGAGGCTCCAGGGGTCGGTCCTGTCCTGTTTCAGCTCCCAGAGCCCAGGCCCCTTCCTTGTCTTCAAAACAGCGGGGCCCCTCTCTGCCCCCCCACCCCCTCTGGCCCTGATTTCTGACATCTCCCTCTGCCCGCCGCCTCCTACAGGGAAATGTGTGATGATTATCTGCCTGGATGACCCAGGATAGGAAACAATAAGAAAGGACAAACAAAAAGAGAAATACTCAGTATTGGGGAAGAGGCAGGACTGGTGGAACTCTCTAAACTTTGGATGTGAGAGTAAACTTGAAGTGAACTTTGGGGCAACTGGTTCCCAGTGACACTGGAATGAGCTGGACTCTGGCCTCCCAGTGCCCTCCTAGAAATGAGGCAGGAGCCCAGCGCTGTCCTTTAGCAGCAGGTCAAACACAGGTAGGTGCCTACATAGTGAAAATTTACAGATAATCTCTATTTTTTTTTTTGGTATGTGCTTTTGATGGGAAGCAAACCCTGGACTCTCTGGTTCGCAGGCTGACACTCCCACCGCTGAGCCGAACCAGCCAGGGCGATAACCTCTATTTTTAACACATGCTTAACTAACAAGATTGCTTACACAGGTACACAATCAGACTTGTACATTTTTGCTCCTAGAAGCATTATTTGTATCACTCCAAAACATGCATGTCAATTATGACACACATGTTGTCTCCAACGGAGTCCACAATGACATACAGTGATACCTCGGTTCTCGAACATAATTCGTTCCAGGAGGACGGTCGAGAACCGAATTGTTCGAGAACCGAAGCAATGAAACCCAATAGGAAAGCGTGACTCCACAAAGCGTGACTCTCTCTCTGCACTCACACTGATGACGCCAGCAAGGCGCGCTGGGCCGAATGAACGCCATTCGGCTCAACTCGGCTCATCTCAGAAGTTCGAGTTCCAAATATTTGTTCGGATTCCGAGACAAAAGTTTCTCGAATCTCCTGGTCGAATACTGATTTGGTCGATAACCGAGGCGTTCGAGAACCGAGGTATCACTGTATACATCACATATGGCATGCATCTCAGATGTGGTATGCACACAGCACAAATGTGTGTCACTCATGACATGCATTCCACCTGTAACACACATAACACACAATGTGCACGGCACAAGATGGTCATTGGGCACTAATGGCAGATGCGATTGTAAAACAAAGGTCACTTCTGATACCCATGCCCATCACGAAAAGTGCATGTGTTGTGCTGTGTATTGGTTGTGGCAGAAGACACTTCTTACATGCATGTCACTTGCAACACATGCTGACTTTGGCACATGTAACTACTGACATGCATGTCAATTGTGACACATCATTGTGACACATGGTCTCGGCATAGTCGTTTTTGACACGTGTGTCAATGGTGATGCCCATGTTACTCAAAACTCGTATATCACTTGTGAAACACATTTTAATTCTGATACATGTGTTGACTGACTTGCATGATGGTTGTGACACAGATATGATTTCTGACTCACATGTTGATGGCAACACACATATTGAGTGCAACATGCATGTAGATACAAGATGCATTCCACATGTCCATCACAGCACATATGTGGGCTGTGACATGTGTGCCAATTTTGACATGGCGGCAATCACGAGGCATGCCCGTTCACCCTGCTGCACGTGTCACTTTACACATGTTGATTTCTGACAGCATGCCGAGCTTGCACACGGTCTGGTGGTAACACAGGGTGCACACATTGATTGTGACAAACATGGCAATCACAACATGCACATCACTTCCCATGTCACTGTTGACACATCACTTGTCTCATGTGTCACTAATAATACATGTGCCACTTGTGACATGTTTCTACTAATGGTGTGTCTACCGCTTGATCACGCATGTCACTTATGATGCTTATGCCACATTTTGCTTGTGACCCATATGTTGCGAATGACACGTATATCACGTCACACGTATTTTGCTTATTACCCATATCTTTGGAGTATCATCTTGGTATATAATTTGGAAATTGGCATATTGATTTACTGCCATTCATTCTCCTAGGGACAGGCCATGCTTTTCTGAATGAAGAGGTCCTATGGCTAGCACCATATGGTATCAGAGCAGGACAGAGGTGTCCATGTGCTCTGGT